AGGCCTGCTCAACTGTACAGAGTGTCTGTGTGAACCGATAGGGCAAGCTCGTAATAAACCTGTGGTACCATATCCATCTCTATAATTCCACACTGAACCACCATATTCCTTAAAGTTACTGAGGTAGATTGGGCTACCAAAACAGGTGGGGGGCACTGCGCCCGCGCGCTGGAGCCGGCCGCGGTGCACTCCGAGCTGCGCCTTGCTGCGCGCGCTCCGTTTGTCGAGAACAATCGCCGAGCCACCGAATGTGACTCGCAGTGTGAACAAGCCTGACAGGGTCTCGCACAAGCAGGGGGCGCAAAAATACAATACCAGCTCGAGCTGATATTGTAGGTCTGTAATGTTTGGAGCTCTTGTATTGCGAGGTGTGCCGATATTTCGAATCGAAATTACTGGTCATGTTTGTTCTGCCAGAGTTTTTACAACAGGAGTAATAATGGGTTTTGTTGCTTGTTTCTTGTCGCATTTGCTCTAATCTTTTTCTTTCTGGTGGAGCTGCTTGTTTTTAAAAGAATGTATGTGGCAGATAGAAGTAGCGCCGTGCGCTGGTGCGTGGCTGCGGAAGTGGAGAGAGGAGATGGGGAGCATCGCCTTTGTCCAAGGACGGCCCTTTCGGGCGAAGGACGCGCGACGTCGACGCGACGCCCCACTCCCACTCTGTTTCCCTTCCTTTCTTTTTGCAGCAGCCACCGAGGTGCTTTCGACGACGACGCTTTCAATGGCGATCACCGGACCAAGCTAATTGACGAGGAGCTACTCGCACCTTTCCACGAGAGGGACAGGGAGAGGCGATAGAGAGAGATAGAAGAGGAGGGGGGAATTCCCCGCTTTTTCCTCGTTGCAAACTCTTAAGCTGTTAACACATATAATGGAATTATCATTAGCCTCGTCATTAGCAAAGCATGGCAAAACATCATAGTTTACCCATGAAAAATCTGAGCTTGTTGATGGCGTTAATAGTGAGGCACGACGATTATATAAGAATTGCAGAAGAGGGGCGGTGTTGTTGTTTTTGTTTAGTGGAGCGGGGCGGCGCGAGGCGGGGCAGAGAGGGCCGGCGGCCGCCGGACGCCGCTGCAGTCCTTTCTCACGCTGATCTTTAGATTGGATCATCGCACTTCCCATCTTTGTGCCAAAGTGAGGCAGTTGTCGGATTATTATTACACCGAGTTCATTATGTCCATGCTGGCGGTTAGACTGTTGACTCGCGTGTCTCGGCCGGCTCCTCGTGTTCGTAAGCCTTGCCCATCCCATCAGGCCCACCGCATTACTGCATTGCATCATTTCAGAAGCGCGCGTTCCCGACGCTTTCGGGCTGTTACTTGTCATGTCGTATAGTGTCCGCCCGCGTGTGTCTGCTCCTGTATGAATGCCGCATTGACGAGTGAAAGTACAGGCAGAGTGTGGGGATGAGGATAATCCTGTATTTCTGGCCCGCAATTCAATCCCCGGGGATGTTCAAGCTGCACTGAATCTGCACAAAACCTCAAAGAAGTGACATTAGGATTGATGATTTGAACAACGTCGTTTTTACACGTTGGAGCCGGCCCGACCAATTTGTTGTCATTTCCAAATTAATTCAAAAACGGCTCCGGCAGTTGGGACCGGGAGGGTCAGATGGGCCTCCGGCCGCAACCTGCTAAAAGACAACCGGAAGCCATATAGTTGGTTTCTGGGTACCCCGCGTAAAGTGCTAATCCGAGTGTAGGTCTCTGCGGGTCCTTCGAAACACTCCTTGGATGTCCCTCTAGACTAATCCCTCCCAGGGCCCTCCAGACCCTTCTCTGGAAGTGCAGGGTGGGAGGCCAGGTGCAGTGGACCTGCGGTGGGGGCCAGCCCCCCCGCCGAGCCCCGCGGTGCAAGTGGAGGGGCCGACGCCCGCCCGGCCCGCCCGGCCCCGCCCGCCCCTCGTCCTGCAGGACACGGAGGAGGGGGCCGCCGCGGCCGGGAGGGGGTCGGAGGAGCAGAAATTACTCTCGCTAGTGTGGTGTAACACTAAAACGACGTATAAAAACGGGTCGGCGGAAGGCGCCGGCACCACTCTGCAGAGCTGAGCCGCGGTGCCCGTGCCGCCCCCTAGGCCCGGTCTCGAACTCAAATCCGACAATGCGTGTGTTAGTGGTAAGTCTCCAGTGCTGTGCCTTTGTGTTGTGTGTCGCCGCCGCCCACCGTCGCCGACCCCGCCCCAAAGGACTATAAGGACTAACTGCGATACCTCCGAGTGAAGTGAAAATCGAAAGTGACCGTTGAGTGATTTCAACGAACGTGCAGTGCCGAAGTGCCAGTGAAGTGAGAGTGGCGCCGTGAGAAGTGTTTCGCGTCAGAGGCCACTCTGCGTAGACAGCACAAACAGTGAATTTTTCGTCTCGATTTTTGGTGGAAGGACTGATCCGCTTTTCCGTCTGTAAGACATTATAAAAATGATATGTGTCACGTGTCACTATTGGAGAAAAAAGTGTTCTCTCTTCAATCACTTAAAACTACACAAAAGAGAAAAATGTACACATTTATTGCGGTTCAACTTTTCAAAAGTGACGTGGTTGTCACAAATCGGTTTGTGGTTGACTGTCGCACTCTTTTATCTGTGCAAAATTTCAAAAAAATGCTGACACTCTTATTACTTGTGTAAAGTTAAATTCGTAAGCCTTCAGCACACTTACATAATTACTAAAATTTTAGTTATTTTCTGTGGTCCTTTGTGCAAATTTCAGTCTATTTCAGTTGATTTCAAATTTAGAGTTTGATCTTTTTTGTTTCCAAAGTTTAAAATCCAGCCGCAGAAGCAAAATCAATTGTACCGTAGTTTTCGCGCAGATATTATTTGCAAAATGCAGAGAACAGTCAAGAAACGAAAGGGATTAGAAATGGGGAGTCCGTAGTGTTCGATCTCGGTCCCTGCGTGCCGTGGCGGGCTGCAGCCGGCTCTGGTGCTGGGTAAACGAACCGCCGCCGGCTGTCCTTGTGGAAGGTCAGGATCGTGGCCGGCCGGCCAGACCCGTGGGGGCAGGCGGACCGGCTCCCGTGGGGGCCAGCCCAGCCAGCAGCTGATGCCAACCGAACCCGGTGACGTGTGACGTAGGACATGCAGTAAGTCAGTTATTGGATTGACTAATTAGGGTAGGGTCGGAAACGTGCTTCACCCGGCTTCACCGTGGCTGCTCGATAAACGAAGTTTATGATGTCGCCTTTATATTTAAACAAACGTCGTGATTTGTTACTGATTGGAAATTTATTATCAACAGTTTTAAGCCGTCAGTTAATACACCTAAATTGTGAAATACAGTACTTCATCCTATGCGCTTCGGTAAGAAAGTACGTGTAGAGTCCGGACTGTTTTCTCTTACCACTTATAGTAAACCGGACAACCATTTGATTAGTACAATCGAGTACAATTAATTCACAATTGAAGATTATTCTTAAAATTTGTTGGTTTAAAACTTCCTATTTTTGCGACGAAAGAAATTTTTTCAGCGTTCCCAACTAAGTTATGGCCTCGTGTCTGCGTGTCCTACGCCCTATGATAGCAATATGTCAATTAGTCCAGCGAATACATCGGATTAAAATCAGATCATCGTCGCATGATTGAAGTAGAGCCGCGTTTGAAGGAATCTAGGATTATAGCGCCCGTGTACCATTTCTAAGAATGGGTTGCCTTTGGCATCCCTGCGCAGGGACGCTAGTGTTCTTGCATGTCTCTCTTTTAGCGGGTGTTAAATCCTTTTAGTACCCTCGGGGCTCCGACTTTTCCTCCCTTGCGTGTCGGATGGGGACCAAACTCTGAACTCATTATTATCCACCTCCCTTGGACCGGACGGGGCTGCCCCGCCCCGCCCCGCCCCGCCTGCTTAGGCCCAAGCCGGAAACAAACTTTCAACAACGGTCCGGCTGGGTCCGGCGGTCCAGCCGCGCCGCCGCGCCGCCACGCCACGGCGAGACACGCCAACAACGACGGCTATCACGACGCGCAACCCCTCTGCCCACCTCATCCTATTGCGGTAAGGCGCGGCTCCGCGGCTGCGATCCCAAGGAAGGCGGCGCGCGGCCACGGAAACACCGGCGGAAGACCGTTGTCCCCCTC